TCTTAGAGAAGGTAATCACCTGGCTGAATCTATTTTTGCACCTACAGGTGAATCCTATGGTATTCACTAAAATCTCAAGTTATAATTCCTAACATTTAATGCCCCATAAAGCACCACCCTGGGAAATGGGGAAACCCGGGGTGTCTACAAAAAACCCTCTAATTGCTCCTAGTTCTCTCTTTATTCTACCGTACTACATCTATAAATGTCTCCTTCTGTTCTCCATCCCTATTTTTTTTTTCTTTTTTTTGCTCCTCCTCTTTCTTTCTCCTTTCCCTTTCCTCGTCTAGGTCTTATACCTATCTGGGGTTGTCATTTATGTACTGAAAACCGCCAGAGTAACTCAGGGTTCCTCAAGCTCTACACTATTGACATTTGGGGCTGGATAATTCTTCGTGGTAGAAGGCTTATCTGTGCATTATAAGATGTTTAATAGCATCCATGGCCTTTATCAAATAGATTTCAAAGTCTTCAGGCATTGCCAAATGTCCCCCACAGGGAGCAAAATCTTCCCAGCTGGAAATCACTAGAATGGCACATCTGCCTCTATTCCTTAGTACCTTTGTGATTTGGCGTTAAGAAGGGGTATCATGATTTCGAGGGAGGAAGCAGAGAAGGAATTATCTCAAAGTAGGTGGCCTCAGAAAGCATCCTTATCAAACAAGCAGGCAGAGTCCAATTCTTATGTTAATTCTTGTTCATTTGGCAACATCAAGAATATCCTAAATCTGCAAGTGCAATGCATTTTGCTTGTAAAACGTACTAGTTACAGGTAACATCAATGCTATTAGGATGGAGGGGCCTTTGTATTTTGACCTCAGAGATGGTGTTGGCAAGAATTTTCAACAGGCTATAAATATCTAACACATTCTTGTATAACCCATAATGCCTTGTTAGGTTAATAAGAAGTGTCATTTTTGAGCCTCAGTGCTTTGTTGGCAATTCACTATGAATTTGGAAAAGGAAGAAACCAAAGCAATGAAATGCTTAAGTGGCGAGAAACTGCCATATGGCTCACTAATAAGGTGTCTTGGGCACATGTACACCTTTCTAAATGCTGCTTTTCTCCTGAGTTTTTTCTGGTCTTAGAAAACAGTAAGCTAAAATCTTAGGTGCAAATTAGTGAGCTGACAGGAATTTCTCAAGTTTTCAGAAATACTGGTATTAATTTATTCTCTTCACAGTTAATTCTCCAAGCATATTTAATGCCATCTCATAGACAAGAAGCTTCATTAAAAGACATTTAAGACATTTCGTTGTTCATGTTTCTTACAGCTTTTTCACCTATAACACTCCTTATTCCCACCAGAACAAACTAGGGAATTCTGATATAATCAGTTTCTGCACTAAGAAATGAAAGATTTAGTATTAAATTTCCTGCCAGTCACTTTCTACATAAAAATTAATAGCACCTATATCCCATGTGTTTTATAATATGCACACCTAGAAAAAATATAAAAATCAATCCATATCTTTTCAGCCTGTCAACGGCATTTGACACTGTCCATTACTCCTTCCTCTCTGAAATACATTTCACTCTTGGCTTTCGTGATATCACCTTCTCCTTGATTTACAGCATCCTTGCTGTTCATCTCAGTTTCCATGATTCTTCTTGACCAATGGCTCTCTTGAATCTGCACTCTTCTCGACTCATGAATAAATACAGATAGAACACTGGGCCCTCATCTCTAACTGAACTCCTCCCTAAGTGATCTCCTCCGGCCTTGTAGTTTTAAGCACCATCCATCCATTTGCTGATGATTCCAAAATTTCTATCTCTGGGCCTGAATTTTTTAATGAAGTTTAATATTCATATACCCAACTGCCTACTCACCAACCCTCTTGGATCTAATAGGCATATCAAAACTAATATGGCTAACACAGAACTCTATTTCCTATGCCTCCAACTCATTCCTCCTTTGATAATCTCAGCCAAACATGAAAGTTTATCTCTTTCAGCTTCATGCTTCAACCAGCTGTCCTCGCCCTGCTCAGGAAATTCCTCATTAGCTTCTCCCTGTGCTCTGGCCACGTTAATTCTAACACAGTCTCTTTTTCTTTCCTGTTTAATGAGCAAATTCTGGGCTTCTTGGATCTTTTTTGTTCCAACCATTCCTTCATGCTCAAAGGCCCCTGCTTTTTATCACTCTGCTCACTCCTTCATTGTCCTAAGGAAGGATATGGGAAAAGGTGACACTCCTGACACTCATCCCTGATCACTGCATTTGTTATCCTGGATGTTCAGTTCAGTGCACAAAACCTTTTGATATGACATTTGTAATGCAGAAGTTTTGACACCAAGATTTGACTGAAGTAAACAAATAATGCAGCAATATTTTGACATAGTCAGAAAAATATCATTAATCCTTCTGAGTGTTATCACCAAACAATACATGTAATAAATAACTCAGTCAGCCAGGCGTGGTGGCTCATGCCTGTAATCCCAGAAATTTGGGAGGTCGAGGTGGGCAGATCACAAGTTCCATAGACCACGAGGTCAGGAGATCAAGACAATCCTGGCTAACATGGTGAAACCCCATCTCTACTAAAAATACAAAAATTAGCCGGGCATCGTGGTGGGCGCCTGTAGTCCCAGTTACTTGGGAGGCTGAGACAGGAGACTGGCGTGAACCCAGGAGGCGGAGCTTGCAGTGAGCCGAGTTTGCACCACTGCACACCAGTCTGGGCGACAGAGCGAGATTCCGTCTCAAAAATAAATAAATAAATAACTCAGTCATATTGTAGTGTCTTATCCATCCATTGATCTCCATGAATAGTTGCAGATAGGGAATAAAAAAATGTGGTACAAAATGCCCACAGTTTAAACTCTCACACCAAAGTGACTACATTGTATAAGCCAGGAATAATAAGTAAATGTAGTCTCATAAACCTAGCCAGGATAAATCTAACATATTTTGATAAAGTTGTAAAGGTTCAAAATGTCTAAGAGGAAAAAGTATAAACTCTGAAAAAAAACCATATCCTCATAGTATTATAACTACTACTGCCAATTGTTAGAGATCAGCTCTTACCTTTAAAAGCACTATGCTTTTTTTATTTTAATTTTTACTTTAAGTTCTTGGGCACATGTGCAGGATTTGCAGGTTTGTTACATAGGTAAACATGTACCATGGTGGTTTGCTGCACCTATCAACCCATACCCTAGGTATTAAGCCCAGCATGTATGAGCTATTATTCCTAATGCTCTCCTTCCTCCCACTCCCACAATAGGCCCCAGTGTGTGCTGTTCCCCTCTCTGTGTCCATGTGTTCTCATTGTTTAACTACCACTTATAAGTGAGAAGATGTGGTGTTTGGTTGTCTGTTCTTGTATAAGTTTGCTGAGGATAATTGCTTCCAGCTCCATCCATGTCAGTGCAAAGGACATTATCTCATTCCTTTTTATGGCTGCATAGTATTCCATGGTATATATGTACAACATTTTCTTTATCTAGTCTATCGTTCATGGGCATTTGTGTTGATTCCATGTCTTTGCTATTGTGAAAGCACTATACTTTTTAAAATAAAATTTATACCTAGACAGTGGCTCTGGGTAAATATGCAAATAGTCACTCTGATGAAAGCTGTGCTCTATCTAAAAAATTAGGTGGAAATTTGTCTTCTAGTGGTTGGTAAAAACAGTCTAGAAGAAGTTCATTTTGTTTTTGTTTTTTTTTTTTCTTAATGTAAACATATCCTAAGTGACTTCTCTTCCTTTCAAGGCCAGACAGAGGGAAGAAAGAACTCTGGAAGTGTGGGATATGATGTTTGAGAAATAAACATACAAGTAAGAACACAAAGGCCATTCCTGCCATTAAGCCTGAAGATAAGCTGCTTCAGCCAAGGGCAGAGTATGATTGGTAGGGGAAGAAAGCTACCTAGAAGGCTACAAGGTACAGGTTTTTCTTTAAATTGTTGTGTTTTCTATCTATGCTAAAGGATGTTAAATTGGAAATTTCAGGCATAGGAAAATAGACACAAAAATCCAAAGTGAAGTGCTAAACCAGGATTTACACATTTATAAATTTAGGCAGAGTTACATTCCTCCCCACATGGAAGTATAAAGGGTTTAAAGAGATTTATTTGGAGAGAATTGTTGGCATGCTGTGATTCCCACATAGCTTTCCTCTTAACAGGGCAGGGTAAGGAGACTCTCAGATAAAAGGGCTTTAATGAGACCAGTTGAAGAGCTTTGTTTGGGCTCCGTGCAGTCTGGAGTAATACTGTGTGCTAGGATCTACATCATGTCTGAGAAATCGAATGGGTAAGAAGATGGCTGAAGAGATCTCTGCATCACAAGCGGGATGAGGAAGTTGGAAAGAAACTGCACCCCCAAAGTCTGCTGGGACAAAGAATAAGAGTGCTCTCCTACGGACTTTATATGGGCCATAGAGAGACGCAGACTGAGTTTATTAGATTGTCCAAAAGACCAGGATGAACCACTCAGATTACATTTTAAAAGTGTTGCTTGACGGTTGTAGGAAGCAGGGAATTCTCTTTTTCTGGAGGTGACGGAAAAAACATAGTCCTAGTGGCTAAAGGCAGTCATCTTGGACCACAAGGTCATCTAAGCCAGAAGTAAAATTGACAGGAAGAGGAGAACAAAACAGAAGGACCAGCAGGAAAGTGGAGTGTGAGCCATGACCAAATGGGATGAGAAATCCACTTTGATCTGGACTTTTTGCTTATGTGAACCAAGAGACCCTTCCCCTGCTAAGCTAGTTTCAGCTGAGTTTTCTGGTATTTGTTACCGAAAGCACTCAATGTTATAACCTTTTCTAACTGATCTAGGAGAAAATCCACAGTCCAAATTTGTGCTAGACTAGGGTGGTCGAAAATCAGGAAAACACAAAAGAATCAGAATACCATTTTCACTAGGTTTTTAGAATGAACTCTATCCCTTGGGAAGATGTGAACTCTAAATCAAAATGAGACATTAATTGAAAGATGGACTTCATTTGGCCGGAAGGTAAGAAACAAGGAGAGTCAATTATTTGTTACCTGGTAATGAACTCTCTGGGAGCCAGAAGAAACTGACTGTAGGTCCTAATGAGAAAACGGAAAAAAAAATCCATACCTTAAAATTAGTTTGAAGAAGCTGCCCCACAACTCGATCTCGACTGAACTCCCAATTTACTATTCTTATGCTCATCTGGAAAGTATCCAACACACCCAAATTCATAAAGGTTAAATAAAGAAGGTAATGCCAGAAGTCATAAAAGCAAACCAAGTTGGACTGAGAGAAGGTCATTAAGCTATTGAAACCTGTAAGTCCTACATAGTGTTTACAGGTAAGTGATATATTATTATTTCAATCTCCTATAGAGGAGACCAGAAGTAAAAGATAGGCAATTTTGTTCTAGTAAATGGGGATTATATTTAATTTGCATGTGAACTTTAGGCTTGTGAAGAAGGCTTTGGAAATCCCCTTAAACAATTAGGAAGCTTTTCTTTACCTTAGACCAGATACATACTGTCATGGTAACTGTTTATACTGATAAGTCGCTTAGCAAATAGGGGTTTTCATAGACTACAAAGAGAAAAATCACCAACCACCTCCACATTATCACGAAGTGCAAATTAACAGGGTTGAAATTAATGAGGTTTTACTGGCAGATTGTGAAAGCCTGACTCCTTTCATAAAGTTTTATAACGAACTTGTCACCATTGTCATTGCCTCCTAGGCTTCCTTGCTAATGAGTGTCATGATTCTATTTATAGATGTCAGCAATCCTGGGTACCTTTGTCCTTACACCTATTTCCCACAGCGTTTCATCAAAGTACTTTCCATTAGTTTTAAAAACTTTTCCTCTTTATATGTTGAGTTGCCTCTTTTTAAAAAATCCTACTTTTAGTTGAAAATTGGTACAATAAACATGCTATTCAGTTAGTTAAGTTGGATTTTAACAAAGTCAATTCATCAATCATGTATTAATATTATTCTACTGTGAAGTCTTGTTAACAAAGCTCTACAAGTGTTAATTTAAAAAAAAAAGGTAAAAAGGTTTGGTACCAATTATGATTCATTTTTTTCATTACAGGTTTCTGGAGTGAGATTCCACAGCAAAATACAAACATTATTTTGGGAAATGAGATACTAGAAGTTTGGGAACATATTAATAGAATTGGACCTGAGTCACTAAAAATTCATATATTTTAACTTGTTTAAGTCGCTATCCTCAGTCAAAATAGCTTAACGAAGCTGTAAGTATAAAATTCGTTGACCATCTTTCTCTCATCCATATCAGTATTCAAGATTTGTCATCTATTTCTCAAAATCAGTAATTTCTCACATCACTATGTGCCTCCCACCTGAATTTATTTCCACCAAGAGAAACAGAATCAAATATTCAGGGATAAGAGGTTACAATTCAGAGTGATTTTAAACAGTATGTATTGACTTTATTTACAATCTTTACCTATGTATAACATGTTGACCGGGACAGAGTTGCTTATCAAGGGGTATCAGCTGGGTACCACCCAACAGCTGTAAAAATACAAATGTCTAGGCCACACCAAGAAAAGTGGCTCTAATATACATCTTTCATCAAAAAACAATGATAAAGAAATCGTCATTTATGCTTTTTGCAATTTGTGGAAAGGAGACAGTTAAAACTCTCCCTCAAATTTTTGCAGAAACAACCAACAACAATTGTAAGGATGAGTTTGGGTCTCCTGGCTTTGCTGGTGCAGTTCACATTTGGGAGTGCCATATATTGGGGTCACTTCCTTTCTGTTTCTCTAAAGCAAGACCAGATTAAGAAAAAAAAAAATAATAGATTATTCTTTGTGTTCTGACAAATTACTATGAAATGTAGAGGATTTTTGCTTCCTACAGAAGTTTTATTTATTTTTTTGTTTACAAAATCTAGCTGTCTCTGACATAAGCGTCAGACACAAAACATTACATATCACTATTTTCTTTCATAATTTAACAGTCCCTGTTGAAATTCTGAACATCTCAAATATACAGGTATGTGTCTGGTAAGATGACAAGTTCCAAGCTATAGTTACAAACACACCAGGGCAACAGCACCCTGTAGTTAAACCAGTCAATGCTTTCCCATTTCAACTATCTGAGGAGTGAACAACAGAGACAGTGGGAGAGGGTGACATACAGCGTATGCTTGAAGGACAAAGCCACCACATTTCCATTTCCTCTCCAAATGCATCATTTCAGAAGCAAATACGTATGGCTGGTAATTGTTTACAAAAATGGAAAGTTGAGAATAAGTAATGGGCTAAATAAACTCACCTCCTGTAGGCGGTCTATGTACATACGGCAAGTCTCCAAATCACAGTCTCCACGCACAACTAGAATACCCAGAGGTATCGCTAAGGGTGAAGGAAGAAGAAAAATCTAAAATAAATATTTGATTTTTCTGTATCAGCATAAATGTGTTTTTCATGGTTAAAAAAAATCTCATAAATATTATGGGTTTAGATAATGTCCATAAAAAGAAAGAAGTACTTTCTCCTTATACCTTTTTTATTATTTCAGTCTCTTCTTGTTTGCAGTTGTCACACACTTCCCTAGCATGATCCATGTTGCCCCTTGCCAACTGTCCTTCATCTCATTGTATTTCAGTGGCCCTGAGATGAAGTGAATTGTCACGGTAACGATGGACTGGCAGAACAGGGAGGCTGCTCATGGCCAGTTGATAATTGTACTTGCATTTTTTATGCTTATGCATAAATTTATGCTTGCATTTGTAATAGACAACATGAGGACGTAGTGCCAGAGAGGAATTAAAAATTGAGGATTCTGAACACTTAATCCTTTCCTTCCTGAATGCAGAGAACTTCATCTTTTTGTCTGTCTACAACAGCTTCCTATTTATGAGACTTGAGCTACTCAAGGCACTGTTGCTACCTGGTGGCCAACACTAGAACTAAAGGCATAAAATGTTAGAAAGAAAAGAACAAAAAACAGCTTCTAGAAGAGGCAAATCCAACTAATGTTAAGGATGGCCAATGTAAGTGTGGTAACAGCAGGATCTCAGAAAACAATAAGACATGACTAAGTTACGCACCTTATAAAATATCCTACTTAGGTAGTGTCAAACACACACAGTGGCTTTACTGTATAGAACCTACTTCAGATATAATCACAAGAGTCCTGAAATACTGAAAAACAGTCTTCTTTCCAAAACTTAAAAAAAAAAGTATCTACAAATTTCTTGTTTTAAAAGTACAATTACACTATTAAATCCATGATTTAACATAAAACTTTCAAAATTTTGAATTAACCAACTGGAAAGTAGCAAGCAAATGATAAGGCAGTGGTGTTCTCTAATAATTTTTTACAATCATTCACTCATTAAGTGTATTTTTAAAGCCATCATCAATAAATGTGTCTGAAAATACAAAGTACTAGAATCTTAAAAATTCATAATACACAGAAGAAGAAACATTTAAAATGCATAAAAAACCTTGAAGAATCTCCAAGTAGTAGAGAAGGCATATATATAAACAAAAAAAAAATAAGTATAACACAAACAAAATTAAATGTATGAACTTAGTCATTTGAAAACTATAGGAAAGAGGGGCTAATTCTTGCCTAGGCAGAGGGGTAGATTTTAGGCTCTCTGAAGAACATGAAGCCTCATTTGATGTTTTAGCTGGAGGAGCAAAGGTGGTCTAGAGAAAAAGAAATAGTGTTTGTATCTCAATGTTACCTCCTAGATTGGTTTCTGCTAGGGAGACCTAATCAAACCCACTACCCCATTCCTTTATGTTTCTAAAGTCCTGCATACATAAATCTTTAAGGCATCCAAGATTTTGTGGAACTATGGAAGCCTGTGAGTGAGTGTGGATTGTTTACCTTCACTTCCCCAATGCCTAGTAAAGAAATGGCAGATATTCAATAAATGAGTATAAAAAGGAGGAGGAAGATGGGCTTAATGACTGTTTGTATGCAAAAGAGAAAGTCTGTCTTTCAGGTGCAAGTCACCTTTCCAGGGTAGACAAGAAGCAAGGTAAGCAAGAGGCAGTCAGCAGAGGATAAGGAGCACTTTTGTAAGCATCATATCTTTGGGGGAGTAATAATCATTCTAAAAGAATATTTATCCTTCTTTTAAAAGATAAAAAGCAGCATCAAAAAGTTTTCAGCATGGCATTCATGCCTCTTTGTAGGAAAAGGAAGGGAAATTCAATAAGGACATCTCTTAAAAATAGTGATTCATCATCTTCAGCTACACTTACTGTAAAGACTGAAATAAGTTGATCCACCAAGATAAGAGCAGAATAGAATTTCTAATATTTGAAGAATGATGAGGAAAAGTTGGAATTTTGACCTAGATAATAAATCTGGAAATGGAATATAGCTATAATTAACATGAGCATCCACATTGAATCTTGCTTAATGATATTTCCTCTTAATATCAAATGTGCAAAAGTAGAAAATAGATTTTAATCAATGTTTATCCATTTACTTAAGTTAGGAGATATATTTTATAGATATGCAGGAATCCTGTCAACACCTCTGGTTTCCTTCTATTAGCAGTGTTTGGAGTTAGTCTGGTCCAAGTATAAATTCAATGTATTTGGTAGCAGACATTTTAAACTACAATTAGAGATTGTATATTCAAGATATGGAATCAAGAGGAATAGCTAACAAGAAGTTTTCAAAGACGTGTCATTCATCTCTAATATGGGTATAAAATCTACAACTTTGCCTGTTCTTCGAGGAGCAAAGTAAGAGTAACTGCTTTTGATTGAGCAATACTTAGCTGTTAATTGTGAGGGAAAAAGAAAGAAAAAAAAGACATTCTCTACCACAATTTTATAGCATGATTACCAACAACTGTCAAATTTATTCCAAGAAGGTAGCAATATGCAGTAGAAAGGATTTGCCGTCATCCACTGCTGGGTTCAAATCCCAGTACTGCTTTGGTCTTGCAAATTACTCAAGTTAGCTACTTAGTCAATTCTTCTGAGCCTTGGTTTAAAGACTATGGTGTTTAGAAAAGATGTCATATAGCATTTTGTGAAGATTCAATACAACACTATATTCAAAAACAAATTATCAAAACATCAATTTTTATTCTCCCTTACTCTTTTCACTATCTTTTGAGCATCTTTAGCCAGAAAATAGACATACCCAATCATCTTTCTTTTAATTTAGCATAGCACTACAAGCATTAGCTAGCAGTAGTTTAATAAGTTATATTCCAGTTTTCTTAAAACTAACTTCTACTCTTTCTGCCATGTAAAAAAACAACTAGAGTAGAAAAATATTGTAACCTGACACTTCCATTTGGGCCTTTACATGGCGAATAGAAAGCAGAAACTTTTCAAAAATTACCATCTTCCTTCTACACTATTGTTAACCAATGGCCAAGCTTCCTTGACATTTCCTCTATTTTACTTAGGAGTAGTGAGAGCACTTATCACCTGAGCTCTAGTGTCACTATCCCTGAGCTCAATAATTCATCTTATTTTAGTAGCAGAGACTTTGTTAAGGTCCAGTAAGCATGAGTCAATACTCAACCTTCATAATGGAACTTTTATTACAGGGATTAAATGGAATTCACAAGTTCTAAGTGAAAAGAACAAGCTGGGTTCTAGAATAAGATGGCAGATTTAACACACATATTAATCTCTCACCAGAAATACTACTAACCTACAGTAAATAGATTTTTTAAAGAAATGAACAAAAATAAGGAGAAAACAACAGATGAAGTAGATGAAAAATTGGTAACTGACTCAGAGCCCTTAGAGAGTCAAATCCTAAACCACTGGTGGGGATAGACATGAACCAAAACAGTTTGTACTGCAAAACCCTCAAAAGGCTTGCAAACTGGCAGTACCGCGTGCCTCAGGAGCTGAGGTTAAAGGAGGTGGTTAAGATAGAAGCAACGGATGTTAGATCACCAGATATCCACCACCCATTGTGGGCAGGTGCAGTTACCTTACAGAAAATGAAGATTAATTGATCATCTGAAGACTGCAGTGATCCCCAGCTTTCTTCCCACACTGAATTCCCTAAAAGCTGGCAGCCAGAACCTTACTTTCTTAGAAAAACATTGAAAACTCATCTCAGTGGAATCTGACAAAACCATGAGGAAATACACTAACATGAGAACAGGCCCACTCCCAACATTTATAAGGCTCAAGGCAAGAACATAAAGACCTGCATTCCATATTTCAATATATTTATAAGTTTAATGTGAATTCCCAAAACTGTTAAGTGAAATCTGTTCTATCTTCCTATCCTGACAAATATTCCTTTGTAGTTACCTAAATGAGATGCTGAAACTCATAATTCTTGTACTCCAAGGAGTATTAGAACAAAACATAGTTCTTGTGGTCCACAGTCAGACCTCCTTCTCTTTCCACTCCGTGGATCTGTTCAAAACACGAAAGTCCTTGTTTGTATGTATACAGACATTACAGACCATATCCCCAAGCTTTCTCCAAAGCCCATGCAAACTGCTGCCCCAAAGGAAGGCCTTCCTTAGTCCTATGCCCGCCCACTCCACATGACTCCTGGGAGACTAGACCAGAAGAAGAGGCCTATGCAGATCCTAGAAGCAGGTCTGGAGCTGTTGGGGCAGGAATTCTAAGAATCCAAAGCACAGTCTAGAAAAGGGTAGAGAAATCCTTAGACAAGCCCTTTTCCTTTGCACTTTAGACACATCATCCCATGAAGCAGGGCAAAGCCAGAAATGGTACATATCCGGGACATCTAAAGCTGAAGCACCTCTCCTATAGGTCTAAAGACAGCACTGATTCTTCATTCCCAAGAAACAGTTCACCCAGTTCCCTCACACTGAAGCTTGAAGTCAATAAGCTTTATGCATGAGCTCAGAACTTTCAGGCAGCTTTTATATTTCCCACTTTTAATAACGAAGTGAAAGGCAAAAGTGATCAGAAAATTGAGAAATCTTTCTAATGCAGAAGCCAAAGATCAAAATACACAGGATTCTCCAGGCAAGATAGCTGAATAGACACAGCCAGAAGGAACATCTGCCATTGAGAGACCAGGACATCAGGAAGACTCTAAGCAGATCTTCAGAAGGAAAGCATTGAGAATGGCTAGAGGGAGGACACAGATGTTGGGCTTAAGCGGGAGAAAGCTGGCAGCCCTGCATGGGGCTACCATACATCAGTTCCTGGCCCTCAGTTGCCCCTGGGGTAGTGGTGAGTTGAGCAGGCAAGGAATGACCTACTCTCACCATGGACTTATAGAATCCTGGCAGCAGGAGACCACATGACCCCCACAGAAACGTAAGCTGGAAAGGACAGTTACTTAGAGAGGTGGTAGGGGCAGGGCTCCAGCTGACTGGAGCCCAAAGGGTTTGGGGCAGCAATGTCTGCAGTGAAGCATGACC